AGTGGCCTGTGATGAGTAAGAGTGCCTCAGTAGATGGGTTGTCTGCAGGTGCCGTGCTTAGAGATGACAATTAGAATTTGTTTTCCGTTGAATTTTCATAGGTATTTCATCAGTAGCCGGTCACGGTAACCGAGCGGTCTAAGGCATGTGCTGTCTTCGCTTTCTCGGAGACCGGGACCATGGGTTCGAATCCTACATAAGACATGGATTTGTATATGTGTGTGCAAGCCCAAAGCGTGTGTAATGGTCTGGCCAGCTTAAAGTGTATAATGGCCTGGAAAATCTTAGGTTTTTTAATGGCCTGGTCACCGTGAAATGTGTGTAATGGCCAGACTAACCTAATTCGCGGGTGGAGTCCAGGTGGGTCCACTAGGCACGGCGGCCATTGTACCTGCCCCGGGTGATTATAATGATGGAGCAATTGGTGGAATGAAAATTGGCACGGGAAACCGAAGTACTCGGAGAAAACCCGCCCCAGCGCCATTTTGTCCACCACAAATTCCACTTGACCAGAACCGGGATCGAATCCGGGCCGCCAGGGTGGGAAGCCAGCGACTAACTACTTGAGCTATGGCGCGGCCTTCGGGCTAACATAAAGTGTGTGTAATGACCTGTCCAGCTTAAAGTGTATAATGTCCTGGACATCTCCTGGTTGCACTATTCCGGCTTTGAGACGTCATGTCACAATGTAATTGGGCCCACCTGAAATCTAATATTGCGTATATTAAGTTGGGCGGTTGGACTCTGGAGTGGAATTTCTAGCAATAATTCTGCGTCCACTTGGCCTAAGATTTTCCTGTCATTTTGTCAATTACCTGATCTTCCGACTGCCTTCGTTTATTTCCACTGGGATAAATTATCTTGGGCTTCGAAACGTTAATGATAATATATCATTCGAGGCGAGTGTTATTTTTATGTTTATGTATATGCTGCCCCCGGCAAACTGATCAGACTGGACTGTAGACGGATGTGCTGAATCTGTAACTAATTTCTCATGCGAATGAAAGGTGGATATTAATCCTCGGGAAAAAAAAAAAGCTAATGTTTAGTTTCATATTCTGTTACGGTCGAAACGAGATAAAAGTTACGTTAACTTTGTCTCTCTTGGTTTTCACGGATGGGAAACCTATTACATGTCAGTCAGGGATTTATATCAGTACGATACGCCTGCGTGATGCGACAACTTCTCCGACATTTGTGCAAAGCGTGTTACAGGATTGTGTTGGTTCAGGCGTGAGTTGTCTGATGTATAGTTCCACCTGGCCTGGCTTATGAAATGAGTCTGTAATCTTCATAGAAGCGAGTGAACTTAGTCACTCATACCTTCCATTTTGTAGGGCATAGTTCGATTCGGTCTCATGAGGATTAAATGAGCTGGATCCTGGACTATACAGATACCTCTCTCAGGTTGTCTCACATCTTCAGGCGTTTCGAATAACATGGACGTCTTGTTATGTTTACGATGGCGCCCAGACGTGTACACCGTCACTAATATGTACTTAAGGATTTTGTTCTCAAAATGGAGTCAAAATCCTGCAAATAGTTCATCTTGTGAAGGATCTGATAGATGCATAGGCAGACATACCTGCTATCGAACAAGTTGGACCACTAGCAGCGTCTTTGCCTGGTGTTCGGTTCCAATGTGGGCCAACCACCCACTGTTGTGAGTGAGGATTTAGCGGATTCTTTGAGCCCCTAACGAAAAAATAAAACTCCTTGGCCTCTAGTCCATAAGCGAACTATACCGACCGAGCGACCGCCGCTTGTCGGCGAAGTTAGTGCCAAGTTTAGCGGATAGAGGGTGTCGCGTGGTCGGCGCAACGGATCCCCACGGCCCTTAATTTTGGTTTTCTACGCCCCGCTACCCATTGGAAAGGAGAATGAGTGAGCCCCAGAGCCGGTCTGGACGACATGGAGAAGAAACAATTTTTACTCTACCGGGATTCGAACTCCGACCGCTCATTCGTCTATCCCGTAGCCATTCGCTATACCGACTGCGCTCCTCAATTTATACAGATGGACATAATAAATTATGCGTAAAATAAACATTTAAATGAGTATCTGTCAGTCATATTTACACATGTGCAAAACCTAGATTTACAGGCTTTGCAGTAGCAGAACGGTATTATCGCGTGAAATGTGCAGGCTTGTTTTGACGTATGAATATGAACGAATGTGAGTTTACATATTCATCAGAACGAAGGGGGGTGAAGTGATTGAGGGTTCGTCGGCAATTCAGTGCTCCGAACCACACTGTAGAAGATCTGACAAATGTGGATACCACGCAGCCAATGTACCTCTTAAGTAATGTTATCTTGCGGGTCCACTGACCACTGATACATCTGCCCCAAGAAAACAGAATTCATTAGTTTCAACTCCGTAGCATCACCACTTCTGGTCACGCTTGTACCGGCTCTGGGCCCCACTCAGCCTCCTGTCCAGTTGGGGGGGGGGAGAGGTAACGTTATCCCTGTAACAGGCCGTGGAGGCCCATAAAGTTGTGAGACGTCGAGGATTCCACATTATCTAGACAATCGGCTGATAGATGGCGATGTCAGCCTTACGCGTCGGCCGCCCTTTACCCCCATGAGCATTCCTGATACTTGTGTTAAAGGCTGAGTTGATTTCAGGGTCATAGTGCGGCTGGAAGTATTAGGTCAATTGAAGAACCGAGTGACCTCATGTGGAATTGAACCCGCGACTTTCCGGCTTGTGGCATAGTGCCTCCCCTGTCCAATGGGTACCGGTACCTTCTTCACAGGTGGTAAAGCGGCCCATGCCTGAAACTAATTCCTCATCTCCGTTTACTGTCGAGGTGAAGAGCAGTTGAGCCATGTACCTCCACTCCCCATACAACTGTATGGTGTGGTGCTTGGAAGAATGCATGCATAAGGGCAGGCCTAGACTTGTCCTTGCACCGCTATCATCAGTGGTCTGTTGTGTGTCCCTCTGTTTCAGCTTTTCAACAATCCTAAACTTAAGATGAAGTGTAGTATCTTACTTAAAGGAGTGTCAGTTGGTTCCATAAAGCAGTGACCCACGTGACCAAATCTTCAGTAAGCAATAGTATTAACAATCACATAGAATGTGTGTGGCTAATTCGTTCATAGGGTTATTGGTTATTTCTAGTTTGTAAAGATATCCTTTCAGCTGACAGTGTCCTGTAAGGATTTCTCTCACATGACCAAAACAAAAAACAAAACAAACTCTGTGGCCTTTACTCCGCAAGCGAACTATTCAGACCGAGCAACCGCCGCTTGTCGGCGAAGTTAGTGCCAACTTTTGCGGATAGAGGGTGAACGTTGTTAGTGCAACGGATTCCCACGACCGTTAATCTCGATTTTCTTGAAACAGCTCCTCAGTTATCCTCTCGAGTCTGACTGGACCCCATTCCAAGACCCACTACTTCTCAGAAAATCTCCGGGCGGGTGATCAGCTCGTCGCAAGGCCTCTACATGTAGACAAACACAAAAAAACGCACACACACAAACTAAACATCCATGCCCTGAGTGGGATTCGAACCCACGATCCCGGCTTCCGAGCGAGCGAAGACAGTGCATGCCTTAGACCGCTCGGCTACCGTGAGAATTAGGACGATCACAGTGGCTGCTCGGTCTGAGGCATGAACTGTCTTCGAACATGGATCGTGGATTCGTAGCCCAGTGGAGACATGGATGTTTGTGCGTTTATTGTGTTTTTGTTGTTCTGTATGTAGGTAGCGGCCTTGCGTCTTTGTACAGGATCAAGAAACTGAAAAAGCGGCAGAAACCCAAGAAAGGGCTATAGAGCTATGGTAAAGGAATTAGAATTAGACATGGGAAGGTGCGAATATTTGAGAAAATATATGACAGTTTCTAGAAAGTGTGAATGTTGGCTGTACTAACAAAATATGAAAATAGTACCACGTAGTGTGTGATTGTTAACGTTTCAGTTACCGTTAAGCTTTGCGTTGTATCACGTAAAGGATTATTTCTCCTGGAATTTCTTCCGCTTTCAATTCTGTGACATGGATACAAACAACTGTAAGCTGCTGTAGTAGAGGCAGGTAGGTATGATTAGTCCTGCCACTTGCTGTAAGCGCTTGAGAGGGATGAGAATGAGATGCTAGCGAGTCCAACTTCTGCTCCTCGTGACGTGATGACTCCAGGGAGGGAACACTTCACAAAACTCTCTCTCTCTCTTTTACAAATGACTGCAATGCCTCCACCAAATTCACCTTGCCTTACCGGACACTGGGTCCCATGGACCTCATTACTTGTGGTAGTAATCTCCCCAAGCAGTTTAATTTAATCCTCTGCCCTTAATTCCTCGGCCAACTTAAGTTCGTACGAGATTCATTCCAGTATGGGATTAATTATCAGTGGCGGCTGGTTGAAAAAAGTTCCCTTTGGATTATCATATGAATAATCTCTGTAAAATTAATTAAGGTAATCATTACATGTGTTAATAAAATTGTTGATAATTAACAGTTTTGCCTGTAGCGTATTAGGCATAAACATGTCCACATTTTCCTCTCTGGTGTCCAGAAATTATGGAGGCGTTATGGTTAGATTTCTATTTTTCAGCGTGAAGAGTCATGCGTTTTTCCTGAATGGATCACTTGATCATTAAGGTCTTTAATGAGGCTGTAGCTCACAATGATAGAACAAAAACAAATTTCATGGTTTTATTCCGCAAGCGAACTATTTCGACCGTGCGACCGCCGCTTGTCGGCGAAGTTAGTGCAAACTTTAGCGGATAGAGGGTGTCGCGTGCTCAGCGCAACGAATCCCCACGGGCGTTAATCTCGGTTTTCTAGACCGGAGCCGCTATTTCCTTGAAATATATCCTCAGTTATCCTCACGAGACTGAGTGGACCCCGTTCCAGACCCACTACTTCTCAGAAAACCTGGTACCTCTGGATCTGTAGCCACGAACTCTGACCACTAGACCATAAAGGCGGTCACTGTGTCCATTCAGTTTCTGCATATTTACAAGATGGCGTCATTTGTCTGTTGCAGGTGGCCGAGTGGATGGTGACAGCCAGGATACCGGTAAGTGGAGGATACACACGTTCCATTCGCAGTTCAAAAATGGGTTAAATTTCACTGGAAATATTTAACTGCCAACAAATCGAAGAATTTTTTGAATTTATAAACTTGATATGTACTTCACACTTTCAAATTGTAGCAGCCGAATTTCGTCATCAGTTTCGTTGCTTGTTAACAGTGAACGTAATCGGAACGTAATATTGGAACCAATGTGCACCCTACCGCTTACATCACCCCTAAATACACAGTTTTCCAGGAGGGAAGGTCAGTATTCTGGGAGGTCACAGTATTCTAAGTATTCTAAGCAAAAAGTGTATGTGTACATGTGTCCTATTCCGAACGTTTTCCTAGATAGAGCTATTTCACTATACACCAAGTTTGGAATAACACACAGATCTCTTCATATGTCAGAAGCAGACTGTACCATGTCGTAAGCACGACGCAAGAATGTGTTCGTTTCTTCGTAATTCTCTGTGCAGAGATGTGTGTGTCTTTCTTATAGGCCTTAACTGAACGGTATTGCGGGGACTGCAGGTGAACTGTATGCCACATGAGGCCCCCCATTTCTCTGAAATTCGATTTCGCGTCCTAGACAACAATAGGACGGTGGCTGGGTTATTTTCAGTACAAAAAAACATCAGCAGCAGAACTGACTGTGGGGACATGAAGTTTATGTAGTGACAAATCTCTTGATAAAAGAGGTTGTTAGAACGATACGACGTAATGTCCTGTACGTTGACGAAAAGTAATAAATTATTTTAAGCTGGCACGCGATGGTTCTGCGGCGATATCCCTTAATCAGGACTAACTCAATGGACTAAGGAGTAAATAGTGGCTACGTCTTCAAGAAATTGCCCGCATTTTTATTGAACCAAAAGGTTCATTACGGCCGCCTCTGTGGTCTAGTGGTCAGAGTTCCTGGTTACAGATCCAGAGGTCCGGGTTTTATTCCCGGGGCTACCAGATTTTCTGAGAAGTAGTGGTTCTGGAACGGGGTCAACTCAAACTCGTGAGGATAATTGAGGAGCTGTTTCAAGGAAATAGCAGCTCCGGTCTAGAAAACCGAAATTAACGACCGTGGGGATCCGTTGCGCTGACCACGCGAACCCTCTATCCGCTAAAATTGGCACTAACTTCGCCGACAAGCGGCGGTCGCTCGGTCGGTATAGTTCGCTTGCGGACTAAACCCACGGAGTTAAAGGTTCATTACATTTTCACAAGAATCCACCATCGCATTGTATTTCAAGGCAGTTGAATCCATATCACATACCCATTTCATATTCGTTAAGATATAAGGTGTTTTAGTATAAAATGATTGGACAATACCGAACAGTGTGACTCAGTATGTATCCGTATAATGCTTTTACATGTTTCGTTCAGTTGTGCCCATCATCAGAAAGCAATAACAAGATGTTAAGGAACTACTATTACATAGACCACAGTACATAAGCTTAAAGTTTTGTATAAAGACTTTTAATAAAGCTAAAATGTTGCCTTCTGAAGATGGTCACAACTGACCGAAACATGTCCCTTGTACTGCGGCCACTTCTGGCCTATTGTACCATCCCCGGATGATAGGTGAGGGTGATTGTGGAGCAATTGGTGGAATGCAGATTGGCAGGAAGATTGTCCACCACAAATCCCACTTGACCAGACCCGGGATCGAACCCGGGCCGCCGCGATGTCAAGCCAGCGACTAACCGCTTGAGATATGGCGCGGCCTACTGAAACATGTAAAGGCACTATAATACTGAGTCACATTGGGCGGTGTTGTCAAATAATTTTATAATAATTAACTAGTGTGAGGGAACAGAATGTATAAATTTAACGGTGTTTTAGCATTATATTTCAGTGTATGCATACATCTTTCAAGTGGGCTCATGCATTAATATCTTCAATACGTATCTTCACATGCATGCTACATAATGTGCTCGCTCCTCACCCCCCAGTTTGTTCCCCAAAATATTAGAGATAATAATGACAGGCCTACAAAGATCTTAAGATCCAAAAGTTCTTGACGATGGTATATTAATAAAATTCTTGATTTTTTTCGAAATTATCCATCGTCCTCTTTTTATATTTGAAACATGACGTCTCGGAAGTCGGATTGGTTCATTCTTCAAATAAAGCCTACTCATTTGGGTCCAATCGATAAAGCTAGTCTCTGTCTCGAGCGATAAGGACTGGCTCTATCGATTGGACCCAAATGAATAGACTTTTACATGAAGAAGGAAATAATCCAGCCTCCGAAACGTGTTTTAAACAAAAGCAGCTCGTTGGATAATGTCCAGAGAATAATTCTACAGTTTTTGGTTTAGACAGACTGTCGACTGGAGGGCCGGTGTTTGGTTCCCGATCAAGAAGTCTATTACCCAATGGGTGCCGTGGTCCTCTCCCACGGGATAAAGCGACCGGCACGTCAAGCTTACGAACCTTCACTCACCCGTACGTCTTCATTGCTTGGTGCTTAGTTAATTAAGCACAGCACCTTTACAGCATGCTTAATGAAAAGTTCCAGTTATGGAGCTTTTTAGTAGGTCTTAGAAAACTTTCTCCGTCTTTCTGTTCCTCTTCTCACTAAGGTCAAAATGTTCTCTTCCGTATCTCACGAGCGCCCTCGAGGTGAAAACCCAAGTTTTGCAATATAATTTTAATCTGTTGCTTCCGCTTACAAATACTTGAACGTTATCACATTTTCGAAGGATTTATTTGTATCACGATTTGGTCCTGTATTTTGTATGACTAACTTGAACTTTAGCCGTCACTGGAACTTCTGTATCTTTCTTTGTGGCGTGTATATATAAGCTGAGTGCATTTTCATCAACACCGACTAGAAACCGCCTTTCGTCTTTTCATTCTCTCTTGGTATGACTAAAACTTCCTTCTAAATCAGAGTTGAATGCGTATTTTATGAATATCTGCCTGTTGTGTGTAGTAGAAAATTAGAAAAGTTGAAAAAGTGGAACAGATTCAGCTCTGACGAATGGGAAAAAAAGTAAAGATGTCTCTGTAACAGGCCATGGAGCCTTATAGGGTTGTGAGACGTCGAGGCTCCCAGATTTTGTAGACAGTCCGCTCACAGATGGCGGTGAAGTTGTCAGCTCTACTCGCTGATAGGCCTTTACCCCCAGGAAGATTCCTGGTACTCATTTCTGTTAGAGGCTGAGTCAACCCCAGGGACATAATGCGGCGGGAAGGATTAGGTCAATTGAAAAACCCAATGACCTCATCGGGAATGAAACCCGCGATCTTCCGGCTTATAGCATAGTGCCTCAACCAACTATCGAAGACATCAGCGATAGGGAATCGGTTACGGAGAATATTTTTCAGCCTGGAAAGGTAAATCCTTCTGAAAGTTAAAACGAATGACTGCAGTGGCGAGAGTTTGTAACATTTTTTAATAGGCCGAGGATTTGAAGTAGCCGGCTGATGATGTTTTGTTTACGGAGCCTCCACTGCATGTTGTTGCTCCTCATCCTTCAAGTGGAAATTGCGGTGGGTTTGGGGTTGGACGGCCGGCAGATTACAGCTCTCCATTTGAGTACTGCGCCTCGCCCGTTCTCACATCCTCTGTAGGGCGATTATGAAACACAGTCACCGCCCGTGTGGAAGGAAATCTGCAGCCACGCGCTCCCTGAAAAGTTTTCTCATTTTCAAGTTTTCATCAGTCTAATTTGTTTGCCTAAATAAGAGAATTTCAATTCACATTCGTATGCATACAGCGTGTACGTGCAGACTGTCCCTGCTGGCTCAGTGATACTGCGCCTGGTTTTGGTTTATATTCGGGAGGAAATTACTTCGAGTCTCGGCAAGGTCACCGTCTGTCCTGACTGGTGATTGATGATGTCCTCGTGGTTTTCCGCCCTACTTCCAGGCTATTAGAGGGATAGCACCTAAATATTGCTACAGCCACTTTGACCCAATGTCTTTTGTGTTACAGTACGTGTTTTGCCTCGGAACTCATTTTTGTGTTTGATACAGCAGCGTTAAATAGTTTAGGCTCTTATCGCAGACGGAATTGCATCTAAGTTACCGGATAATTAGTGAATATTATCATGATACAGGACAGTTGACCCTTGTATGCGCTCTTTACATAAGAAGAATAAATGAACGTCCGGCCTCTGGTTTCCTTTCCAAAAATGCTGAAAGAATATTGATTAATTTTCGTTTAGTATCTTTACACTGGGAGCTGACAAGTGAATTTAATTTTGCTGTCAGCCGTGAAATATAAATCCTACTTTACATGAAGCTCTGATCAAATAATCCTGAAATCTGATGTTTTCACATCGTGTCTATGAGGACTACTGTCTTGTGGGAAGTGGCGCCATGTTTGGTAAAGATTTACAGACATTTCGGAGCGACTTCCGTAAACATGTACCAGACCACGTGACGTCACAACCAAGTAGACAGTAATTTTCAGAAACTGCTCAGTGTAGAAAACCTTCCTGCTTTTCATAAAATTAGGACCTTGCGAAGATCTAAAAGATTTATTTGAAATATTTATCCATATTTAAAAGAGTTCAGGAAGGGTACTAACTCGAACTCCATGCTTCAAATATAAGAGGCATGGCGGTGGTCAAGCTTACGACCGTTCAAGAGACTCAGCTACCGTTGTAGCATGAGATACATAAGATAGGCATGATCTGCTCTGTAAAGCCTGTACTGGCAGAGGACTTGTGTATAGTTCTAAAGGAAGAATTTTCAATAACACGCTGTATGTTCGATACGTACGCTTTAACAAGGGCCAAGCCTCTTCAAGAGAGACAAACCCTTCGTCTCGCCAGAGAGGATATTACATAAGGACTACGATCATAAGGGTTCAGTTGCAAAAAAAATCTGGTCGTGGGCCTCAAAGCGGACTGATTGGTGGTAAACCGCCGGTCTTAAAGTACATGGCACTGCCTCGTGAGCCACCATGCCTCTTGTCCACTGGGAGGACTCCAGAGCACTGGGGCATTAGACTGTCTCCTTCTTGAAGTAAGCGATTTAAGTTAAGTGCATAG